AAAAAAAAAAAAACCGTCTTGATTGCCCGCAGGAACCCATGGCAGATGAACGAGGTCGGCGCCTACTCGGACTCGTCCGACAACCTGAGCTCTCCAGGCGACGACGAGGAGGAGGAGGAGGAGAACGAAGAGGAGGAGGAGGAGCTGGGGCACGATTACGGAAGCTGCCCACGTTACAACGAGGTGGACCAGCTGCTGGTCTTTGGGGAGCAGTCCTCGACGTACGCCCACACGGCTGCCCTCGACTGCCGGAACAGCGTCGACCTGCGCGACTTTGGCCTCGACTCGGACGACGAGGGCAAGCGCCGCGAGAACACCCTCCTCGACCTCAAAGCCGCGGCCATCAGGCACGAGTCCCCCCTCGACTACGACGACCCGGACGTGCAGCTACGCAAACGGCACCACCACCACCACCACCACCAACACCATCACCACCACCACGCGCGCACGGCCCACCACCAACAGTACACGGCCAACGCGGGCGTGGAAGCGCGGCTGAGCGGCGGCGGCGGCAATTCTGGCACCGGTACAACCTCCGCAGCACCGGGCGCACTGGCAGCGGCCGCGGGCAGCGGGTCGGGCTGCTTTAATTTTAGATTCGCGGATACGTGGCGCAGCGCGCCCAGTCTGCCGGCCAGCCTCTTGGAGACAGCCTCGTCGGCCTCCACGGCGAGCTTGTTGCGCGACGAGAGGTTCACCCGCGTGGCCAGCGTACCGGCGGGCCTCGATCTCTGCGGCCGAAACGACCCCGAGACACGGCAACTGGAAGGCTCAAGTGCGCACTTGGAGGAGGAGGAGGAGGAGAGGCCAGAGGTCGGTGGGGTCGAGATGGCCGAGGTGTTGTTGAAGTTCAAGCACGAGGGTGAGGAGGAGGAGGAGGGGGATGTGGGGTCGGGGAAGACGATCGGCGAGGAGAAGGCTCGGTTGCGCAAGCGAGCCAAGGAACTGGCCGCCTCGTCGACCTCGTCGATAAAGGTCCAAGACCCGCAGAGCGCGGCGGACATCATAGCGGAGCTCAAGTCGGCAGTGCTCGGCCACGCCGAGGAGGAGGAGAGTCAGAACCTTCTGGAGGAGAAGCCGGTGACCTCGACCGTCAAGACGCAGGATGGGATCGAGACGAAGGTGCTCGGGGACCTGGCCATGGCCCTGCGCCACGCCGACTCCTCGGTCGAGAGCAACGCCGAGGTGCCTCGCCGATGGGGGAAGAACAACGCCAGCTACGAGCTCGCCCAGCAGCTGGTCGTCGACGAAGGGGTCATCGAGGCCAATCCTCAAATCCACAATTCGCCCAATCGAGGGCGACGCGTCCTCAACAACGCAAGCTACGAGCTGGCCCAGCAGAACGACCTCATGAGGAACCTGTCCGTCCACCTGGTGAACCCAAACTTCCGCATGGGAACGTGCAAGGAGGTAAACGAGGTGGTCGACCACGAGGAGGAGGAGGAGGAGGTGAAGGTGGCGGCGCAGCGGCCTCCGTCGCGGGCGTACTCCAAATCAACGGAAAACGTGCAGTCCTCGTCGACGAAGAGGCAGCAGTGTCGCGTGATGCAGGAGACCTCGTTGCTCGGGAGGGCAAAAAAAAACTCGGTTTATTTTTCGCCCACTGGAGAAAACGATTCTGGTAGGCCGAGCCTCAACGCCGCTTCCAGTCCCTGCGTTATGACCCTAGACGACGAGGTAGATTATCCCTGCTTATTGGAAAACAAACCCCTAGTTATGGAGCACAAGTATTCGATAGAAGAGACGATGAAAAAGTACAACAACGACGACTACAACTACGAGGATGACATATCGAGGCGGCGAAACGACAACGCGAACCAAGAAGAGGAGGAGGAGATCGGTAAGAAATCGTTAATCGGCGGAGTCTCCAGCAAGAGCTGCGAGGACATGAGAGGTGGCAAAACATCGGCAATAAGAGGCGAGAGGCTGTGGAGGGTCGTGGTGGAGAAGGAGAATCACAGCGGTGATGGTTCATCAGCGGCGCGACGGCCGGCCTATCCCCCACCACCGGCACCGCGGCAGCAGCGCGCCGGCTCTCCTCCGGAATCGGCGGCAAGCATCAGTTCTCCAGCAGCGGCCGTGCGGAGCGAAGGCGGCATCGCGACAACCACCACCACCACCACCAGCAGCACTTGCATCAAGAGCGGCAGTAGTAGCAGCAGCAGCAGCAGCAGCGGCTTCGTGTCGGATAACAACAGTGCTCAGCCGCGCGAGCACGAGGAAGCCGGCACGGTGCAGCCGAGGGCGGTCGAGATGTCGGCCACGGCGGCCAAACGGCTCGCCATGTCCGGAGAGCCGACCCACCATCATTACAACAATCAACAACAACAACAATTGGTCAGGAGTACCAGCAGCATGAACACCCTGAACACGAGCACGAGCAGCGTAAGGGGCGAGGAGAAGAAAAAGGGTGGCTTCGGTGGCTTCCTGCAGCGATTCTCAAAGCTGAGGTTCAGCAGCAGGTCGAAGGTACCGAGATCCGAGCTGCAGCCGAAGAACAAGGGCCACAGTGCCAACAGTGCCAACAGTGTGCGTGACGGTGGTGGTCGTGGTGTCGGTGGTGTCGGTGGTGGTGGTTACGTTAGTGGCGCGAACGTGAGTGCTGACGCCCAGGGGAAGCAACAGGCGGTCGGGAAGAAAAAGGAGCCGGACTACATCATCATACCCCTGCATCCGCCTGAGGACGAGAGGAGGGACGAGCAGGATAAACCGGAGCAGAGGACCGCGCCGTTGAACAACACGTGAGATTTTTTACTCGACCCATATTTTTTTGTCTGTCGAGCAATGTGGAATCAGTTTTTTTTTTTTTTTTTTTTTTTCTCAAGCCCTCGCGATAACTCGGATAAACACGTACACTCGTATACCGAGAAAAACGGCGCTCTTATGTAATTGTGCATGTGTATACACATCCATGGCATTTAATTAGATTTGCTTGCGGTCTCGGTTTTTCACCGCTCGTTAATCATAAGTATATAATATCGGCGCTATCTTACGCTCCGAGGCACGATCGAAATAATATAAATCCTGTGTGCGGCAGTAGACGACGCGGGCGTCTATTTTTGGAAATCCTTAAATCTACAAGTTACACATTTGGCTGATTCGTCTCGAATCTATATAAAATATAATATTATGTTAATTGATGGAAGATATTTTCATCCTATTGAAAACCATGACGATCGAGTCAAAATAACTTTGTATTTTTTTTTTTTTTTTTGCTTGAACGGTTGTAAAAAAAATGCGGTAGTTACGAGTGATCGGTATCCTTTTATTCCTTCCGATTTTTGTTTACACGTGACCCCCCCCCCCCTAAC